TCGGGTTTAGTATTCAGGGTTTAGGGTTTTGGACCATGGACTGAGGGTTTAGGCGGTAAGGTGGCTGGGATTTGGAGCTGGCGGTTGGAGGATGTAGGCCTTGGGATTTGAGGTTTCAACTTTAACTGTTTGCATGCATCGGGCTGAAGATTGTGGTTCACCCTAAACCCTAAACCCTAAACCCTAAACCCTCAACATCCCTTAAGTCTGCGCTGAGGGCTCGACAACTGCCACCGCGGAGCCTGGCCCGAATTTCGGGAGCGGCAGAAAATGCGCACGCGGGAGCCTGGGTCAGGCTAGGCGACTGGCACCATGCCTGGAGGGCACCTTCCACAGAGTGGTAGAAACCCTAAACCCGAGTTTAAGTTTTTGTTGCCCACACTTCTTCGACAAGCACGACTTAGAGCCGGCCCCCTTCTTGACAAGAGTTGCACCCCCCCAAGCCTTCACGACTTGGAGTGGGCCCCCGTCTTGACACGCTCCAACCCTTCACAAGTTGAAGCGGCCGGCCCTCTTGACCTTCTTGACACGGGTTGGGCCACCCCAACTCTGCACGAGTTGGAGCTGCGTTCTTGTTAAGGGATTTAATTTAAGCTACCATAATAGGGATCTATCGCAAATAGTATGGTTTCCTTATTATGGTAACTTAAATTAAATCCCTTAACAAGAATCCAGTTCAAGAGTTGGAGCCGGCAGAAAGCCCAACCCAGACAAGCAGAGACTCACAGAAAACCCAAAGGCATTGCTGCAATGCTTGTCTCCTCACAACTCCGGCAGCACAACCTCACAGAAAACCACTGTTTCTCCCGGCACCCGCCAGGACAGCCCCACAGAAAGGGAACCCGCCAGCACAGCCTCACAGAAAGCCCAACCCAGAAAGGGACAGACTCGCAGAAAAGCGACATGCAGTGCTGCTTTCGAGTCTGCCTGGACCGCGTTGAAGATAACGACCATCGTCGGCAAAGCCAAAGCCCCAGCTGGGATGCCTAGAAGACTTTAAAACTAAACCCTGAAATGCTTGAACTCAGGGTGGTCTTCGGGTGGGTTGTCTGCCACGCACAGCGGCTTGGGTGCGCACGCACCAGCGAGCACCCATGACGTTACCACACCCCTAGACCCTAAACCCCTGAACCTTAAACCCCGAAACCCTGAACCCGAAACCTTAAAATCCGAAGCGCCAAACCCAGGAACGAAATAGCTTGCTAAAGGGAAGCTGAGCCCCTGTACATAACGTGTACGAAGCCTTGAACTCCCAAAAGCCCCCCTGTGAACTCTTGCATAGGCCTATGGGCTTGGGGTTTAGGGGTATTATTGGGTTTGGGGCCTGCGTTGCCCAGAACTCTCCAAAGCCTCGCCCTGCACCGCTAGACCCCGAACCCCTAAACCCTAAACCCTCATCCTAAACCGAATCTCCTAGCCATGAGCCCCTAAACCCTGAACAAGGAATCCAGAAGCCTAAACGATAAACCCAAAACCCTCAATCCCTAAAGCCCTACACTCTGTTTATACGCCTCAAACCGTGCAAGAAGCCCTCTAAAACCTTAAACCCTAAATCTTAAAACCCTAAACCCTACATCCCGGACCCTGCCGTAAAAGCTAGACCCTCTCACACCCTAAGTGCAGGCCTCTGAACTGGCGAGGAAACTCGGGCTTCCCCGTGTCTACGTCTCCTGCAACAGCGGCCCGGAGCCCCAGCATTATTGCTATAAATAGCGTACTCTGATGATTGTTTGGAACCGTTATTAGTATGATAGCCTTTTTCTTATTGTTACCAGTGTTGTTAGTATAACTATTTTGCTGATTGTCACTTGTTGAATGTAGCCGTAGTATATATTGTTACTGTATGGGGCAGTACCCAAGTTTAACCCACGGGAACCTTTTCACCAGAGCGGATGCGCCTGCCTTAGTTTCTGCGACGGGCAGCAGGTTTAGCGTTTAGGGTTTCAGCGCTTCCGGGTTTCAGTGTTTAGGGCGGGGTGCAGTTGATTATGTTAAGATTTAAAGGCTTAATGCTTCTGTAGGTTTCCGGGTTACGAGTGTAGGAGGCCTCTGAACGACTCCCCTAAGTAGCCCACTCAGTCTCGACACCTCACACCGTAAATCCTAAACCCTGAACTCTAAGTCTAGGACATTTTCAGGTGGGTAGTTACCGTTATAGGAGCCTTATAGAAGCTCTATATACTTTATGGAAGCCTTATAGAAGCCCTATATACCCTAAACTCCCCACCTGTAGTTTCCTTTAACTAAG